TGTAAGCATTTTCCACTTGGTCTCCTCCAATTTGTTAATTTCTTGCCTTTGTGAACACTAGAAATTAAGTTAGTAGCTAATGGCACTACTAGCATATTTAACTTGATTAAATGTATTTAAACTTTAAAGAGTTGGTTATTCCTTCTTGCAGGCTACTTGCAAATAATTCATTGAATGGCTCAATTTCATCCTCCCTTTGGCAGAACAAGACTCCAAATGCAATAGAGAGTACTCTTACACTGTAAGTCTCAAAAAAATGATTTTCTTTGTTTAGAATTTGAACCCCAAATCACAGTCCAGATTCAGTAGCCTTATTTTTTTCTCACTTAAGATCAATAGTCTAATCATTTGTGATGTTCAATGACTATTTTTGCTAATAATCAATGCTCTGTGGAGCTTTACATTAATTGTGCAGGGATTTGGAGAATAATTTGCTTGTTAATATTTCTGGCAGTTCTGACCTCCCTCCAAATGTCACTCTCTGGTTTGTTAATACATATATCCTTTCTTGTGATTTTACTTTAATTAAGTAGTTGTTAATGTGTTTATTTTCACTATGGTTTTATATCTAGTTACTACACATGCAATATAATATAATGTACACTTACATGTTTAATAGGCTTATTGGTTTTATACTCTTTTTATATTTATATTCAAAGAAAGGAAAGGTTTGCAATCTCAAGTGAAGTTGAATTTCTTCTTGTCTTACAGGCTTAAAGGGAATGCTGCAGTATGCTTGAATGGAAGTTTAGTTCAGTTTTGTAGTTCTCAAACTAAGAATGAAACTAGAATATGCACTACAGCAAACTCCCCCACTACTAATTGTAAACCGCAGTCATGCCCTTTTGAGTATTCCCCAACATCTCTTTTAGATTGCTTTTGTGCTGAGCCTTTGCTTATAGGATATCGTATGCAAAGCCCTAGCATTTCAGATTTTATTCCATATAAAAAAAAGTTTGAGGAATTCCTAACTCAAAGTCTCCACTTGTCTATTTATCAACTCTACATATATTCATGTGCATGGCAAGGACCACGACTGGGAATGTATTTAAAGCTCTATCCTGTTTATGGTCATAAATTCAATAAAAGTGAAGTTCAACGAATAAGGAGCTTGTTCATTGGATTGGGGTTCGATAATAGCAACACATTTGGACCTTGTGAACTTATAAACTTCACTTTATCGGATGTCTATAAGGATGGTTTGCTCCACAACTTCATCTCCAGCCTTGAACTTTTATCCATAACTTTCATTTTTTTTATCTTTAAAAAAAATTCTTATATTATCATATAATTGATGTTGTAGAATTCAACCCCTCTTTATCAGTAGGCGTAAGTAAAGGTGCATTGGTTGGCATTATACTGGGGACCTTTGTTGGTGCAGTTACTTTATCTACAGTCATTTCACTTATTATATTTAGAAAACGCCTAAGGGCCTACCATGTAGTTTCAAAACGACATCGGGGTGAGTGTCTTAAAATTTTGATGATAGGGTGTCCAAGTTGATAGACTGTATATATTATGTATCTATTTACTACTTTCTAGACTAATTGTCTGTGAAAAATAATTTTCCTTTCAGATATTAAATATGGTGTTTATTATTTTTCTACATAGAAAAATCTTGATGCTTTTATGATTTTTGTTTATTAATCACAATGTCACTCTGCCAGTTTCATTTTCATTTATCTTGTAGAACAATGAATGGAATTGCATTTTATTTAACTGCTTGATACTTTAATACTAAGGAAGAAGTCTCATCTTTTAGGTCTTTGTTTAGTTACTCATCTTGCTTTAGAATCAACTTGGATTTGAGTCATTGGGAAACATTTTCTTTTACTCAAATATATCCTGTTCATCTCTTAGACATTTTTTAGAAAATGGAAAAAATAAAATCGCACATTCTTTTAACAATGCTTAGTTTTGTTTAAACGTTTAGAGACTTGTTTTCTTGTACAGCATCTAGAGCCTTATTAAAAATTGATGGTGTCAAGAGTTTCACATATGGAGAATTGGCCTTAGCAACAAACAATTTTGATCTCACCGCTCAAATTGGGCGAGGTGGATATGGAAATGTTTATAGAGGCACTCTAGCTAATGGCACGATCGTGGCCATAAAGCGTGCACATGAGAGGTCATTACAGGGTGAAAAGGAGTTTCTAACTGAAATACAGTTGTTGTCAAGGTTACATCATCGAAACCTTGTTTCTTTGGTTGGTTATTGTGATGAAGAAGGTGAACAGGTACTTTATCTTGCATCTTTTAAAAATTTTGATTGATATGGTATTGTATTTTTTCCCTACCCATAAATGGTTTGAGAAATAAATATATGGAGGGACAAAAGATGTAAATTCATTGTTTTATCAGCCTAGATATGATAAAATATTAGAGAGATGAACCATAATTGAGGAAGAAATTTGACTAGGAAAATGATTAGTACACATTCGATTTAACACATTTTCTTACACTTAAAATATAATATAAGTATAATTGATTTAGTCATTTCCTGCATCTTATATACATAGCTACATTTTCAAGTTTGTCTGCCTTTAATTTCAGATAAGAAAATAATATTTTTTTAATAAATATGTTATGCAACTTGTTGAACTGAAAGATGCACCAATCATTGTCCATTTGATTGACCAACTTAGTATATGGATAGAATTTCATGCTTGTTGTCATTTATTAATTGAAATTTATTATCACATTCGGTTGTTGTTGTCAACAGATGTTGGTGTATGAATATATGTCTAATGGCACTCTACGAGATCATCTTTTAGGTAAACCTTTGAGTTCAAGAAAGAAAAATGACAACCTTTAATTCTATTTACAAATATTGTGATACTTAGTATAATGTTTTATGTGTATGGTATCGAATGCAGGAAAGGTTAAAGAACCATTGAGTTTTGCAAAGAGGTTGAGAATTGCTCTTGGTTCATCTAAAGGAATCCTCTACTTACACACAGAAGTTGATCCTCCTATTTTTCATCGGGATATTAAGACTAGCAACATATTATTGGATTCTAAATTCGTTGCAAAGGTTGCCGACTTTGGACTTTCACGACTTGCTCCGATGCCAGATACTGAAGGTGCAGCACCTGCTTATGTGTCTACTGTTGTAAAGGGAACTCCAGTAAGTGTTTTACTTGAATGAAGTTAAATTATAAGCTTCTTTATATAAATATATATATATATATATATTAATTTTTGCAGTAAAAGAGATGGAATTCAAATACTATATGTACTAATATATGACAATCAATATTGGTTCACAACTATATACAGTATGTACAATATCTCATTTTTTGAATATTGTGTATGTAAAATGTAGGGCTACCTTGATCCGGAGTATTTCCTGACACATAAGTTGACAGACAAGAGTGATGTATATAGCCTTGGTGTTGTGTTTTTAGAGCTTTTGACAGGGATGCAACCAATTTCACATGGCAAAAACCTTGTTCGAGAGGTAATATATAACTTGACTTCTCCTCTCTTTTAATTGAAGTTAATTATCTTTCATCACTTTCATACTAGCTGAACATATGTACTCTCTTTCTCTCACATACACACGCACACACACCAGGTTAACATTGCTTATCGATCTGGTATAATATTCTCGGTTATTGATGGAAGAATGGGTTCATATCCTTCTGAATGTGTGGAAAAGTTTGTGAGTTTGGCCATGAAATGTTGCCAAGATGAGACAAATTCGAGACCTTCGATGACAGAGGTGGTCCAAACTCTGCAAACTATCTGGCTGATGATGCCAGAGTACTTTGGCCCTTTGCCAGCAGAATCCATGGAAGGTGACTCAGAAAAGACATCTAGTACTCCAGCTTCGTCATCCTCTATTGTAAACAATTCGTACATGTCCTCTGATGTTTCTGGTAGTGACCTTGTTAGTGGAGTGATTCCTACCATCACACCTAAATAAAACGACCACACGTCACAACCTACCCCTGCTCTGATGAGTCTTTGACTATTATTATATACTTATTGTTTTCCTCATTTCTGTTATTATATAGTCAGCCTTTTACACCAACAGGCTACATCATTTATCAATTATGTAATATACCTATTGCCGGCCCATTAAAGTGGGCACAAACTCAAGCCGTTTGATTTCGATCCTGTTCTGTTTGCTGTTCGCTAGGTGGAGATTCCTTCCATGTCCACTATCTACGTGGGAGGTAGTTTCCTGACTTATGCCCCCTACCACCTTGAACATGGGTGGTTTCTTCAACTCTTTCCACCTGCTACTGTATGTGGGCTAGCTTATATAAATGTCTTGCTTTTTTTATTCAGTTTCTTCTCCAAAATCTCTAAAACTTCTCCCTTCTTTCCCTCTCTGTTCACGATTTGTAGGAATCGATAGTTTTTTTCCCATCTTCTACGTGTTTGTGACGAACTCTTTCCTCTGTTCCTCTTTCGTCGCACCCTCTCCCAAATTCGACAATAAAAGCCGCCAAGAAACCATGATTGGTGTTCTTGCTCAACTGAAGGTCCAACATGCCTTTCTTCTCTCTCTAGTTTTCAATGTCTTGGTGTCAATTTTTGGAGGGATTTGAATTCAGGTTAAAATATGATAAATTATTTGACAAAGAGCAAAATAATTAGTAGTAATAATTTCTTTGTTGGTCTTGAATATATATATTTTTTTGTTTTATAAAAAAAATGTTGGCATAATTATTTTTTAACTTTCTAAATAAAATAAAAGCTACAAGGTGGGGTACAAAATCTTAAGAATTGAATAGGTGAACGGCAGATAAATTAGGTAGTTTATTATGGCAACCCAGCGTGATTCAAAAGAATAAATGAAGAAGTGAGTAGGAGGCTTTTTAAACTTGTTCAAACTTTGACAAGAATCGGAGAAATTTAAAAATGGAAAAAATTTTATCTGCAACTGGAAGGGGTGTGTAGGCTAGTAGTAGCCTTGCTGGGTTTAAACTAAAATTTTCAAAAAGTAACATCCAATTCCAAATCGAAACCGACTTGGGTTGTGGGTGCCTTCTAAAAAAACATCAACATCCAATTTTTACGAGCTGAAATTGTGAGAGAGAGAGGTGGTGTGGATGATGTTTTTATTCCTGGGCAGTGGGCATTCTGTTGAAAGGTGACTGGGCCTCCAACTGAAGACGAGCGGGAAAAGTCTACCAGGCTCCAGCACAAGCCGGGCCTTAGAAAGGCTAGTTGGATGATGGAATAATCAATAATGGATTATATAGAGTGAGCCCAGGCCTAGCGTTAACTATTAGGTATTAGCTTACGTAATAGTTAATCGTATTCATGTGCTGTGTAAGGAATTGGATGTTTTGAAGGAGTGACATAGGCCTCATTTCTTATAATATGTTTTGTTTGAGGATAATGAAGTGATAGAAAGATGTTCGAATTCTTTTAAATATAAAAATTAAAAAAAAAATAATGCAAACGTTTCCTTCCCTTTCTCTCTTCTTTAATTATTTTTGGTAATTAAATAAAAATTTTTTTCTCCCCCCTCTCTTTTTGTTTTTTTTGTTTTTCTTTTTTTTTTTCAAACCAAACATTTCTTTTCAAACCAAATATATTGAATATGTTTGTTTCAATATAAAATTTGTATCGTCTAATCTAAAATTAACTGATAGTAGATGAAATAGTCATTTTTAGTTTTATACTTAATGTGAAATTTTTTTACTTAATAAGCCCTTTCTTGTGCAAATCTATTATAAATGTTGAGTCTTGTCACATGATTTAATATGCTTTCTTGCATATACGTTTGTTATTAATATTATATGAAAATTGAGTATGTAAATTTTAATATAAGACTTATGTCAATTTTAAAATCAATTAATAATGTGTGAAATAATTTTCTTTATATTTAACATATATATATTTTTATTATATTTTCAATGTAAAAATTTTTCATTCTAACACATACTACTAATTGTTGGCTGAAAAAAGCATCATCGGTTAGAATTCTCAAAGCTCATGTTTTGGAGAATGGCTAACACAATTAAAGTCTAATCCATAAAAATAGAGGGTGACTCCACAGGAATTGGACAGCAATTGTGTCCCTCGCCTTCTCGTTGTCCCTACTTTGATAGCCACAACTTAACAAGCCAGCAGCAGCCTGCAGGAAGTCGTCAATTGCCAAACCCATCGAGATAGGCTGAAAGCTGCCTTTCAAAATTTTAGACTCTCATATTTTTTATAATAAAAAAATTTACTATTATAACATAGCACAACACCGCAAAATCAAGCTTGAGTTAAATTACAATCGTAATGTGACATAAAAAATTTTATTTGAAAAAAAAAAATACTAAATGCACTTTAAGGGTGAATTGTCACTCAATACAAAATATTTTATTGCCACATACAAAATTTCGAAGGTACCACACAAATTTATTAATATCATATTGACAATGATTTTATTTTATTTAATTGTTACCACAACTTATAATTAATAAAACATTTATAATTTGTTATTTCATATATTAATAATTAATAAAATAATATTTCTCAACATTATTACAATTTATTTAATAAAAAGACGATAAAAACTAAAATATTAATCAAATCATATAATAATAATAATGAAGAAGAAGAAGAAGAAGCTTTTTGAAATGCTAATTAGAAATTGGAAAGGAGTTTGTAGTTTTCCTTTGGGGGCACATAGCAATAAATTTTATTTTAATAGTAATGATTTCTTTGTTAGTCATGATATATATATTTTTTTTGTTTCTGAAAATTTCTTTCGCATAATTATTTTCAACCTTGTAAATAAAATAAAAGCTACAAAGTGGGGCATAAAGTCTTGAGAATTGAATAGATGAAGGAAAGATAAATTACGTAGTGTATGACTATATATGATGGCAACCTAACGTGATTCAAAAGAATGAATGAAAAAGTGAGCTGGAAGAGGTGTGTGGGCTACTGCTACTAGTTGTGTGTGGTGTGGATGATGTTTTCATTGCTGGGCTTTCTGTTGAAAGGTAACTGGGCCTCCAACTGAAGAGGAGTGGAGTGATCAAAGCAGGTGGGCCAGGAAATGTCCTCCAAGGCCGGAGAAAAGCTACTTGGATAATGGAATAATCAATAATGGATTATATGGATTGAGCCCCGGCCTAGCTTTAACTATTACGTATTAGCTTACCTAATGATGTTTAATGATCATCCTCAAGTAAATGCGTTGTGTAGACTGTAGGGAATTGGACGTTCTGAATCTGAACGATTCACATAGGCAGTTGTCCCTCACCCTCTTCTTGTCCTTTTCAAATTGTTGAATGAAAAAACATCATCAGTTACAATTTTCAAAGCTCATGTTTCGGAGAACGTACGGAATTGAACGGCAATTGTCCCTCACCCTCTTCTTGTCCTTTTCAAATTGTTGAATGAAAAAACATCATCAGTTACA